AGGGCGGGGAGCTCGAGTCTGGTTTTAATAGAGTTTTAATTATCCATTTTGGAAATTTTTTGAAGAATATGTTGAAGATGCTATATTATTGTAAAAATTTGTAAATCTAAATGATTTTTTTTAGACTATTAAATTTTAGAAAAAGATTGATTAATGTAATATTAAAACTCGAAACACTCAAAGTATTAACAGAAAAATAGTAATACCAATTTAAACATTATTTACATATAATTAATATATTATATTATTTACTCTAAAAACTTAAATATTCAAAGTATTAACCGAGAAATAGTAATACCGGTGTAATTACTTTAAAAACTTATATTTACATATAATTAATATATTATATAAAAACTAATATATATAATTAAATATTAATAATTTATATAAAGTTCAAAAAAATTGATTGGGATGAGATTTGAAACAGCAACCTCAAGCATGCAGGTTGAGCAACACTGCCAACTAAGCTACTTAATGTATATGGTTTTAATACCTTAGTTATAGTATTTATGTATAAAAACGGGGGGGCCATGGCCCCCAAAGGCCCCTATAGGGATCCGCCCCTGTTACCTGGTAAGAGCGATGACAAGGATAAAGTGTCTTACCCGGTAAGTGAAGGTGACGACTCTTACCCGGGTAAGCGCTTACCATATATATTATTGTATATAATATCATTTTGATATACTACAATCTTACATTAAAAAGAAATTATAATGTTGACTTCTAACAGTAAGCGTTTAAGTAAACATCCTCTAAATGTCAATTAATAAGATTTTAAAAGCAGTTTTAGAAGAATATAACGACAATCTACCATCATTTATTATGATTTATAAGTTTTTTAATATAATATTTTTATTAAATTATATATACAGGTAAGAATGGATGAATGAAATAGAAATGTGTTTTTAGGGTTTTTTATTATATAAAATTTATATAGAATTTCAATTTTATAAATGATAAGTAAATTTATTTTTTATAAAAATAATAACTATCGATAATAAATAATTAAACAATTGAATAATTTACTATCTTTGTAGGTGGCATGTATATGGACCTTGTGTTTTCATTGATGGAGGTTATTCTGGAAAAGTAAAAAGATTAAAGACAACTCTAATAGAAATTAATAGTTTAATTCACCAATCCACATGTGTATATATATATATATATGAAATGATTCAAACGAAAACACTTTCATTTTACGAGAACGTGAGAATATCTTTTTAGTATAGATAATCACATGTGATACACATGTTAACTAAATCAGAGACACGGACGATTTTCAATACGATCTTGGTTGCGGGCCAAGTCGCCCTTACACCACTAAGCCCCCTCACAAGTATTATTACACGTGATAAGGTTGTTGTTGATATAATACTATAATCCATCAAGACCATCACATATGATGTTAAATCATTGACGCAGACAACCTTTGGCGCGACCTAAGTCGTAGAATACGTCATCCGCACATCACATGATCCCCTCACGCGTATTATCACATGTGATAAGAATGTTTTCGCGTTCTCGTAAAATGGACGTGTTCTCGTTTAAACCTCCACCTATATATATATATATATATATGTGTGTGTGTGAGAGAGAGAGAGAGAGAGAGAGAGAGAGAGAGAGGTGTTTACCAAGTACAACTATGTTTGACAAATTAATCGATAAGTAGTTTTCATTGGTAAACTAATTGTTAGCTTAAAAATTAGCTATTGACTGATAAGATATTAATTTTTTAACTAATAAATTATACATGTTCGGTAAAATTAGATGATAATCTAATAATTAAAAAAATATAAGATGTATAATTGAAAAAAAGGTGTAAAAAAAGCTTGAAACTTATTAAAACATTATTTTTCAGCTACTTTTCACCTACTTTACGATGAACCAATCAGGATTTTAAGAACAAGTTCAAAAATTGAACAAGCTTATAGACTTATCGTTATGAAAAATGACCAACAGGCTATGTATGACTGTATATATAATATATTAGTTACAAATGTTAATAGAATGCATTTAGACGTTATTACTCGTTAACCGTTTCAATGAAAATGTCAAGAACTCAGATATTTTCCGATGAAGATATGGGCGTCAAGGAGCGGCTCAAATGGTATATACTTCCCATGACAATACACGATAAACAAGAGGAAGACATCGAAGAAGATCCCAAAACAAGAAAGACAATAACATGCAAACATAAGCATCTACAGAAGAACACTGTCAAGGTAAGTAAACTGCACAACTCAGTCTAACTTAAGACGCTGGTAACCGCTCTATCTCTCAGCTTTTGAAAACTTTTATCAGATATAACGTCCTTGGAAACGTCAGAACATGTGATATACAATCCGAGTCATTCAACGTCCTCCTCGATCTACCCTGTTGGGTCATTGACCAACATATTTCTAAATTGAAACGTGGCGCTGGCTGCTACGTTATAAGGAATTAAGTTGTGCATTCTCCACCAGCAATTGCTTTTGGCGTAGTGGTAAGCGCTTGGATTCTAACATGTGGTATCAGAGCAGGTCATGGGTTCGAATCCCATGGAGTGCATAATAATGCCAAAGGCATGCTGTGCAGCCATTGACTTCTAGTGAAGATCTTGTTAGTGCTG